GTAGAACAGAGCATTGATGAGGTTGGTAAACCTTCCGTTTGGAAGAATTAACCGGGAGTGAACGCGCGGCGTCTGTGCGTGGTGTCATGTCCGCGCACGACGAATGAACCCTTCTCACCGCTCGTAACCTTTGCCGACCTGATCGCGCAGTGTTTGTTGCCAGGAGTGTTTGCTAAAGTGTTTCCGATTTGCAAAGCGGCTTACGGAAATATCAGTTAGGGAGTCAATTGATTCGAAACGTGTGCCGACCGAAATACCGATTAGCTCTACTTAAAATGTCAGCGGCACTGAAATAACGACCGTTTAACAGGAGTGAACAATTCCCAGTTGCAGCGTGAAGTAGTTGCAGTAAAACCCTATATATAAGGGTCAATGGAATGTAACCCCCTTCCCAAAAACGTCCTTCGACAGGTTTCTGTTATATAGAGGTGGTATCACCGTGTGATTGGCACTCAGGGTTCTCATGTATGTATGTCAGATGTCCTTTATAGACAGGTGGCCGTTCTATAGGGGTGACCGTTAACACGGGGTTCGACCGCGTTTTGCAGGAGGCAACGAGGACGGCGCGTTCAAGGTCAACGAGTACTCTGGCCTCGTCGCCACGGCGACGGCGATCGACTACGAGCGTCGCCACGACTACGAGCTCGTCGTTGAAGCCGAGGACCAGGGCAACGTCGGCGCGCGTCTGACGGGCACCGCCACCGTGCGCGTCGCCGTCGGCGACTACAACGACAACGCGCCCGCGTTCGTGACCGCCGACGGGGCGCCGACGGTCGCCGTCGAAGTGTCGGTCGTCGAGGACGCGGCTGCGGGGGCGCCGGTGTACACGGCGCGCGCGCTCGACGCGGACGCCGGCGAGAACGGCTACGTCTCCTACGCTCTCGCCGATTCCGACTCGGATTCCGACGTCCCGTTCGCGATCGATCACTTCACGGGCGTCCTGCGCACGACGGGGCGGCTCGACTACGAGGCGGGGCGGCGGACGTACGCGCTGCGCGTGCGCGCGTCCGACTGGGGCCGGCCGTACCGCCGGGAAGCCGAGATCAACGTGACGGTGCGAGTGCGCGACGTTAACGACCACGCGCCGCGATTCGAGCGCACCCGCTGCTCCGGATACGTGCTGCGCTCGGCGCCCCCTGGCGCCGCCGTCGTCGCCATGACGGCGATCGACTTCGACGCCGGCGACGCGGTGAGCTACGCCGTCGCCGGCGGCAACGACGACGGGCTGTTTGTCATCGACGCGCGCACGGGGGTCGTGAGCGTGAACGCGAGCCTGGAGGGGGCGCCGGCGTCGCGGGCGCTGCGCGTGGTCGCGTCGGACGGCGAGCGCGCGTCGGCGGCGGAGACGGTGGAGGTGGCGATCGTGAGGAGCGACCCGAGCCACGCGCTCGCGGGCGGGCACGCCGCGGTGGCGTGCGACGACGCGGGGGTCCGCGCCGAGCTGACGGCGACGGCGGCGGCCTCGCGCCGCGCCAACGCCCCCGCGCCCGCCGCCGCGCCGCTCCCCGACCGCTACACGATCAACCGCAACGCGCCCGCGTTCAAATCCGACGTCAGCTCCAGCGTGTCCGTGTCGGAAGGAGTCGCCGTCGGCGCGAAGATCATGGACGTGTCGGCGATCGACAACGACCTCGGCTACAACGGCAAGCTCGTGTACGCGATCGCCGCCGGCAACGACGACGGATGCTTCGACGTCGCCGCGGAGACGGGCATCCTCGAGGTGCGCGCGCCGCTCGACCGCGAGAGGGCGCCGGCGTACGCGCTCGTCGTCGCCGCGTGCGACCTGGGGTCGCCGGCGCGGTGCGCGCGCGCGGAGATAGCCGTCGCCGTCATGGACGTGAACGACAACGCGCCGCGGTTCCGCCGCCGCGTCTACGCGGCCGTCATCGCCGAGAACGTCGTCAACGGAACTGCCATCACGCGCGTTGCCGCCGACGACGCGGACGCCGGCAAGAACGCGGACGTCTCGTACTCCTTCCCCGACGATTCCCCGGATTTCTCCGTGGACGCGCGCACGGGAGAGGTGCGCGTGAGGCGGCCGCTGGACCGGGAGCGCACGCCGCGATACGAGCTTCGCGTGCGAGCGACCGACGGCTCGGAGACGAACCCGCTCGCCGGCGATTCGCTCGTCGTCGTGACGCTGATCGACGTCAACGACAACGCGCCGCGGTTCGAGCGCGCGGCGTACGCGGCGACGGTGCGCGAGGACGCGCCGCGGGGAGCCGTCGTGACCTCGGCGGTCGCGCGTGACCCCGACGCGGGCGACCACGGCAGCGTGCGATACTCCCTCGCCGCGTCCCTGCCCGACGCAGCCTCCGCCGCCGACGACTTTGCGATCGACGCCGAGACCGGGACGATACGCGTGCGGCGAGCTCTCGATTTCGAGCGCGCGCAGATCTACAACCTGACTGCGTGCGCGGCCGACAGGGGGCGCCCGCCGCTGCGCGCTTGCGTCGGGGTCGTCGTCGAGGTCGCCGACGTCAACGAGAACTACCACGCGCCGCGATTCGACGACTTCGCGCTCGCGGGGTCGGTGCGCGAGAGCGAGCCGGCGGGTACCGTGGTGATGGTCGTCACGGCGACAGATGAGGACGCTCCACATGACAGAAGCGCGGTGGTGTACTCGCTGCGCGACGGCAGCGGACTGGGACGCTTCTCCATAGACAGCAAAGGTGAGCGAGGGCTGGTGCGGCGGTGAAAGTGAGTGAAGCATAAGTTGGAGTTTGGCAGCGATACTGACGTACGCGTGGGTGTTTGTTTGTACGTACATGTGTGTGCGGGTGCACGTGTACGTGCGTGGGTGTTTGTTTGTACGTACATGTGTGTGCGGGTGCGCGTGTACGTGCGTGGGTGTTTGTTTGTACGTACATGTGTGTGCGGGTGCGCGTGCACGTGCGTGGGTGTTTGTTTGTACGTACATGCGTGTGCGGGTGCGCGTGTACGTGCGTGGGTGTTTGTTTGTACGTACTTGCGTGTGCGGGTGCGCGTGTACGTGCGTGGGTGTTTGTTTGTACGTTTGTGTGTGCGTACGTGTACCTCCGTGTGTGCGTTTGTACGTGTCCCTTGTGTATATGCACGTGCGTGCAGGCGTGCCTGCATGCGTACCTGTACCTCTGTGCGCGCGTTTGTGTGTATGCAATGCATACATGCGTGCTTGCGTCCGTGCGTGCGTGCGTGTATGGTATGCGTGTGAGTGTCCGGGTGTGTTCGTGCGGGCATGATTCGTGCATCTTGGTTTTTAGACTTTCGCGCGTGCCTGTATGTGGTCATCGTATTTGATTATTACCCAGAATGTGTCTATAGTGCTGTACGTGCGTGCGTGCGTGCGTGCGTGCGTGCGTGCGTGCGTGCGTGCGTGCGTGGGCAGTTCGGTGCAGTTTGCGCTGACCTAGCATACTGCGGTACCCCGCCCAGAACTCGTGAGTCAAATACGGCTATCGTGTACAGAGGGTAAACGCCTCCTGTATGCCTGCAGCCTATAGACCGATTTCCCGAGTACAATATCCGTGTTTGTGCTCATGATGTGGTGTGGCGGGAGCTTTAGCGGGGGAGCCCGGACGTAGGCAGGACGGTATGGTACATTAGCAGACGATCTATACTGCCGCCCGCGTTCTCTCTCTCTCTCTCTTTCTCTTTCTCTCTATTCTTCTCTCAGCTCTCTGCTCTCTTTCTCTCTAATTTTCTCACTCTCTCTCTCTCTCTCTCTTCCATCCTCTCTCTCCTCGTCCGCTCTCTCCAGCTCTCTCTCTCTCCTCCGTCTCTCTCTCGCCCCCCGCCCAGACGTCTCTCTCTCTCGCTAGCTCCTCAGCTCGTCTCTCTCTATTCTCTCGCGCATCTTTCTTTCCGTCTCTCTCGCTCTCTCTTCTCTCTCTCTCTCTCTCCCACGGCGCTTTCTCTCTTTCTCTTTCTTTCTTTTTCTTTCTTCCTCTCTCTCGAAAATGTATCAGGCCATGCAGACGGTAGTCTCGCACTTATCGAATATTGTTATTCTGCTTGCTTTGCGGCGCCCCACGATAACAGTTGCAAAAATCTACCCGATACCCAGCCACCCAGTCACCCACACACACACACAGCACACACCATCACACAACGCGCGCGCGCACACACGCAGCACGGCACACAGCACACGCACATTGGGCACACGCGAGACGCAGGCATCGGCACACGCAACGGCACACGCACACCACACGCAACACGCACACCGCACACGCACACACACACACACCCACAACACACAGCACACACAACACACACAGTCATACATACAAACACAGCAATCATACCTACAAAGCACACACACACTCACTCACACACAACAACCACACACACACACACACACACACACATCAGCAGCACACACATTTTCACACCAGTGACACACACACACGACAGCACACACATCACACACACCAAACACACAAACACACAGTGACAGACCACACACAGCACACACACACACACACACACACACACACACACACACACACACACACACACACACACACACACACACACACACACACACACACACACACACACACACATATATATACATCTGTTTGTTTTCGCTGTGAAAAGTACAGCGTATTCTATCGCAGCCGCGCGCAAAAAGCCCGACCCCCCCCACCCCACGACCCCCACCCTCCCTCCCAAACATAAACGGGGCGCCTGTTTTTTCTGCCACTGCTCTCGCGAGCGAAGCGTTCCTTAGTTCCTTAGAACCTTAGAAGCTTAGCCCATGCCATCGGCTCAGCCGATCTTTGGCTACTGACGGCGGCGGCGGTGATGAAGACGGAGACCGGTCTCGATCCGCCGCATGAAAGACTAACCTTCTTCAAAGGCAGCATTTACGTGCGGCCGTGTGTCTGAAAGCTATTGACACCGTCACTGCGGGCGCGCGGGTCTCTCTCTCTCCCTCTCTTTCTGTCTCTCTTCTCTCTCTCTCTCTCTCTCTCTCTCTCTCTCTCTCTCTCTCTCTCTCTCTCTCTCTCTCTCTCTCT